CAAGTGCTGCTCCTTCTGTGCAGATTGAAGTTTCACTGGCTGAAGCATCTGCTCAGCCTACTGAAGAACATGCCAGCACCGCTGATGACAATCAGGCTACTGAAGAAAATGAGAGTACCAGGGCTGATGACTACATTCCAGCCGCTGAAGATATTCCCAGGGCATCCACTAGTGGTGCGCCTGAAGAAAATGAAGAAATTAGGGCAACTGCAACAGTTGCGCCTGAGGAAAATGATCCAAAGTCCTCTGCACCTCCTGCGCCTACCCCAACTCCGATCCTTCCATCTGCATTAGATACGAAGAAGACCAAGGCTGCAGAGTGTGCAACTATGAAGAAAAGGAAGGCATCAGCTTCATCAGATTCTTTAGCTCCGAAGAAAATGAAGCCTTTGACAAGTTCAACTAAAAATCCAATTGATGCCATTCCTGTATCTTTCATGCCATCAAAGGACCTTGTTCCGTTTGGTGAAGATTATGTGATTCCTGAGGAATCTAATGAAGAAACTCCTTCTGCTGCTTCGACAGAGCAGTTGGATGAAGAAATTGAAGTGGATAAAATCCCTTCAAACCCAGTCGTCTCCTCACCTTTGCCTTAGTTTACTGCTGAAGAGGCAGGTGTTGAAGAAATGGAAGATGAGGAGGCGGACATCGGCTGTACCACACCCGTGCTCAATGATGACTTTTGGGAAAGTCAGCACCCCAACTCTCCGTTGTTCACTCCACTCCAAGCAATTCCTCAGTCCTCGGCTGCTACTGAAATGCAAATGGGATCTGAAGAACCTCATGCAACCCCATCTGTCCTTGAAGAAATTTCAGCCACTAGTGCTGAAGAAAATGTAAATGAAGAATTGAAGACACAGGCTGAAGCTGAAGAAGAGCCTGAAATTCCTCAGCCTGAGGAACCTGAGATTGCGATTCCTGAAGTGGTGATGCAACTGACTGACACTCCTCAGCCCAAGCCAAAGGACCCCTTCTCAAAGAAGCAAAAATTCAAGGCTGATGATTTCTTCGGCGAGCGTGTATTCTTCACTGAATTCAACCCATATGACATGCTCGTCTTAGAAGGAAGCGCTTCTGGACTGCCAGCCTGGCCAACTTTTATTCCTCAGTACTATTCAACAAGGACAAAGTCTTCGACCACGAGCACATTCCTCACGTGGACATGGAATCCATGCCTTGCTTCACACAAGTCCTCAGCATGATTCATGATGCAGGCTTGCTCAACTTCTGCTCTGACATTGTTGACTGGAATGAAGAGCTAATTCTTCAGTTCTATGCGATGCTGCATATCACTGGTGAAGCAAATGACATCAACACTTGGGTGTTGGACTGGATGACCGAAATCACTCACTACAAGGCACCAGCTACTGAATTTCTTCGTGCCTTGCCACTCAGTCCTCCACCTGAAGGTGCTCGTTGTCTGTATGATGAGCCTGAACTCATTGCTCACTATATGCAAGTGCTCATGAAGCCGCTGAAGCCTGGTCAAGCCCCAAGGATCAAATTCCTCGTGAAGGAATTGCTCTATGTGCCAAGAACCATCTATCACATACTGACGAAGACTATGAGTCCTATCAAAGGCCATGACTCATCCGATGAAGAAGTTATCGGGATGATGAAGAATATGCTTTTCAACATAATGCATGGCATCCCTATAAACTATCATGATTTCTTCATGAGGACTCTCGCAAATGTTGCACTTTCACCTTTTGAGCTGAAGTCTTACGTGCCGTGGATCATGAGATTCCTCAGATCAAGGTCTTCACTCAACTACAAGGCTGATTTTCAGAATCACCTCAGCTACCTGCCCTCTATTGAAGTCCTCAAGCGGACAATTTCCTCATCTGATGAGAAGGGCAAGTCACCAGCCGTTATCGATGAAGGCATTCGTCCATTGGATGGTCAGTTCTGCAAAGCCGCATCTTACTCCACCAATGATGACCCTGCCACTCATGATTCTGCTGCCAATGCTACCAAGTCGAGCCCTCAAGCTACTGCTCCTCGTGTGATGACTGACCGTGAGCTGCTTATAAGTCTTCACCAGAAGGTGGATCGAAACCACAAATGGGTTAAGCGTCAGTTTGGTTCCATTCTTCACAACATGACCTCTACACATAATGCAGTGAAGAAAAACCATTACTACCTCCATGAAGTATTTGATCGCACCTGGGCTATTCTGTCACATCTATATGGTGAAGAAGATCTGAAGCAAATGGGCTTCAAGGAAGATTTTGACTGGTCTGCTCCTCCTCCGAAGAAATTCAAGAAGGTCAAGGTTCCTTCCTTGGTGGCCAGTTCATATTCTTCATCACGCGACACGAACGAGTATGAAGACTTGGACGACACTGTAGCAGGCCCTACAACAACTCAAGACCCCAACAATGCTGGCGCTCCTCCATCTTCATGATATCTTCGGGGGCGTTACTCCTCATTTTCAACCCTTTTGGTCATTCGATGACAAAGGGGGAGAAATTTGAGTTAGTCTTCAAGCGGGTCTATCTTATATGGGCATTTTTTGCTAAGTTACAACTCTCGTTCTTCTGATGACTTTGCTGGATCGAGTTGTAATCTTAAGCTCTATGGTGGCCTGATACTTTTGCCGTGTTCTTCTGCATTCTTATTCCTTATTAATGTTAATGCACGCATGCTGAATTACATCAATCACCATATTTCATCATGCATTTCAAATTCTTCATATTATATGTCAAATGCATGTATGAATTACAAGATATAGGGGGAGATCTCCATGATTATACTCTTCAAGTGTGCATTGCTTCAAAAGCAAATTCCTCACTATGCACATCTTCAGGGGGAGTTCTTCTATATCTTGCTATCAAATTCCTCAATATCAGTATTTACACTTCATATGTTTATCCCCGTTGAAAACTTAACCTATATTGTCATCAATCACCAAAAGGGGGGAGATTGTAAGTGCATCTAGTGCCCCTTAGTGATTTTGGTGTATTGAAGATTTATAGGTTAAGGGACTGATGCGTTTGTGAGTGTACACATGTCTATAAGTCTATGAGGAGTTTGATATTTACAGAGAAAGTCGACTCCTAAAAATGAAGTTCTTCAACTGAAGACTTTGGATTTCTGAAGACTTTCTGAAGACTTTGAAAGTGAAGAAATTGGTGTGACCTTGAAGACTTGTCAATCATTCGAGGACATGAAGCGTGAAGACTTTTGTTTTTATAGTTTCACTTTCTCCTTCTTGAGTCATAGGAAACACCGTACTGTTAAAGGGGGTCGAGAAAATACTTTTCTAAGGAAAAATTTCCATGTGATGCTCAACTCAAAATCCTACACCTACCAATCCCTTCGAGTGAAGCCATTGAAAATCTCGCACAGTTCAGTCATATTCTTCAGTGACAGAGACGAAGTTTTTCTGGTCTCTGAGGAATTTGTTCTGACTGAAGAGTTAGGAATTCGCCAGTGTGGATTGCCTACAAAGTGAGGAACATGATAGCCCTGAGGTATTTGAGAGTCAAATATTCCGACCGTTGCTGTGCTACGCTCCAGCTGTCCCAAAATATCTACCCACCTAACGGTCATATCAGACAAGGGCATTTATGTCTTATCATGTCGGGCTGTTCCCTAGGCTATAAATAGCCGCCCCCTACAACCACTAGCTGGTTGGCTGCTTCGAGAAAAACTGACACTTGTTATTTGAGAGCAACCCATCCTCCGAGGACTTTGAGCGAAAATCATCAAGTGAGGAAAACCCAAACCCCAAACCTAGAAACTCCAAAGTGATTGAGCATCACTGAAGAGATTGATCCTGTGTGGATCCGACGCTTGTTTCTTTTGAAGATTGTGCTTCTTTCAGACGGTTAGGCGTCAAGGTCTAGAGCATCCAAGAGGAATTGTGGATCACCGAGTGACCGAGTTTGTGAAGGTTCGGAAGTCACCTGAAGACTTTCCACGAGTGATTGGGCGAGGTCTGTGTGACCTTAGCTCAAGGAGAATACGGTGAGGACTGTGTGTCTAGGACTGTGTGTCCTCGAGTTTAAATACTCAGCCGCTTCAATCAGATGTACAAATTAGACAACAGTTGAAACTGGTCTACCAAATCATTGTCTTCACCGAGCTTACTGGTTCTATTTCCTCAACTCTTTAATTTCCTCATCTCTGTTGTAGTGTGCTTGTTCTCATCTGTTTGAAGATTTTGACTGAAGACTTTCTCAATTTCCTCAGTTTAATTTTTTCTGTCTGTCCATCTTCACCTTGTGTTATTCTGTGTTTACGCTTTCTGTACTCTGTGCTTGTCTTCATTTCATCATGATGACTATGCGTGTGTTCTGCTATGTTTACTTTTGAGTACTTATTCCGCTGCAAGTAGTTCTTCATTTAGGAATTCCCTCACCAGAAAATTCCTCAGTGAAGAATTCATAAAAATCGCCTATTCATCCGTCCTCTAATCGATATAACGCACTTTCACGAAGCACAAGCCGGACATGCATCTCCTCCTCGGGGCCATGTAGGATAAGCTCGAGGTCAACAAATCTAAATGTGTAAGAGACGGAGGGGAGTGGAGTGAAATGACTAGAGTTTGATCCGCATAACCGATGGGAAGGAATATATATGTTGTCGGATGGGTTAGTGTGGGCCGAGTTTGACATGACGGACACGGCCAAAAGTGTCCGGAACTATGTATCTGCTCCATATTTGGACTGTATGGGAATGTTACGGTATCCCACGGCTACACTTACCACGAGTTCCTAGGACCAGAGCAAACTCTCAGATGCAAACCCCAACCAAGTGCCTCCGCCGTTGATCCCACATCAGACGGCCACGACCATGCCCCGCCCATCCCACCCAATCATCCGCGCACACACGCCAGTAGTGCCGTCGCCTCAGCGAATCTCCTGACACGTATATATGCGCGCCACTCACCCCGCAGCAACGCAAAGCGCGCAACACATCATCACACACCACACCAACCGACCCGTCTACTTTCTTTCGCCTTGCTCTACCCGCGGTCCCACGTGCTCCCAGCCATGTGCGGCGGCGCCATCCTCTCCGACATCATCCCGCCGCCGCGCCGGGCCACCGGCGGCAACGTCTGGCGGGCGGACAAGAAGAGGAGGGCCAGGCCCGACGCCGCCGCGGGGAGGCCCCGCCGCGTGCCCGAGGAGGAGTTCCAGGAGGAGGAGGGCGACGCGGAGTTCGAGGCCGACTTCGAGGGGTTCGTGGAGGCGGAGGAGGAGTCCGACGGCGAGGCCAAGCCCTTCCCCGTCCGCAGGACCGGCTTCTCCGGAGGTAAAAGAAAGGATCCCTGTCGGCCGCGCGTCGATTTGGGTGGTTTTGTTGCTCTGCTCTGAGATGAATAGCAGGTTTCTTGGGCCCGTCCTGAGATAGATAGATCCGGCGTTTAGGTCACCGGTTCGGAGATCCGTTGGATTGCCCTGCTCTGTTCAGGATTTGGGGGGTAGATTTGAGTTCTTAGGTGGGTTGGTGGTTGGAATCGCAGGATTAGCTAGCTGTATTCTTGATTTGTGCTAAATTTCTGCAAATGCTAGCTGCAGCTTACCCCGATTTCATGTCTGAACTTTTATTGTCATGTGACTGAGATGCGGAGAAAAGATCTTTGATGCCACACTGATTAGAGAAGCTTCATATTTTTATATGAAAATATGGTGCTGTATCCCCCGCAAAAGAAAAAGAAAAGAAAATATGGTGCTGTAGCTGTGGCTTGTTTTTTTCGAGGGTAATGCTGTAGCTGTGGCTTGTTCTGGAAAATACGCTTGTTCTGCACTTACGTTCTCTGCAATTTTTTGAGGGGGGAATCTTCTCTCATGAATCATGACACACAATTTTGTGTGACAAGAATCGAACGATTCCGGCACGGCAGTAAGAATCCAGCCACACATGCATGCGAGTTAAAGGGAAACAGCCGCCCGATTCCATGGTCATGTCGAAATAGGATAGCAATTATCATGTGTAGAGCAGTTTCGATTTTGTGTTAAATCGTTCTATGCTCTGTTTTGCATCGTTAATGCCTATAGTCTAATTCCTTGCTAATTTTTTCAAAGGAAGAGTAAGCACAGTTGATGCTTTTTATTTGGAGTAGTGAATGCCTCATCTTTATCTGTTTAAGATCAACCGTCTCATCTTTATCTTACTGCTACATTCAGATGGACTGAAGGCAACTGCTGCTGGTGATGATGACTGTGCCTCAGGGTCTGCTAAAAGGAAGAGAAAGAGCCAGTTCAGGGGCATCCGCCGCCGCCCTTGGGGTAAATGGGCTGCTGAAATAAGAGATCCTCGCAAGGGTGTCCGTGTCTGGCTTGGCACTTACAACTCTGCTGAGGAAGCTGCCAGAGCCTATGATGTTGAAGCCCGCAGAATTCGTGGCAAGAAGGCAAAGGTCAATTTCCCAGAAGAAGCTCCCATGGCTCCTCAGCAACGCTGCGCTACCTCTGTGAAGGTGCCCGAGTTCAACACCGAACAGAAGCCAGTACTCAACACCATGGGCAACGCAGATGTGTATTCCTGCCCTGCTGTTGACTACACCTTAAATCAGCAATTTGTGCAGCCTCAGAACATGTCGTTTGTGCCTACAGTGAATGCAGTTGAGGCTCCTTTCATGAATTTTTCCTCTGACCAGGGGAGCAACTCCTTTAGTTGCTCAGACTTCAGCTGGGAGAATGATATCAAGACCCCTGACATAACTTCTGTGCTTGCATCCATTCCCACCTCAACTGAGGTCAATGAATCTGCATTTCTCCAGAACAATGGCATTAATTCAACGGTACCTCCTGTGATGGGTGATGCTAATGTTGATCTTGCCGACTTGGAGCCATACATGAAGTTCCTGATGGACGATGGTTCAGATGAGTCAATTGACAGCATTCTAAGCTGTGATGTACTGCAGGACGTTATCGGCAACATGGGCCTTTGGACCTTTGATGACATGCCCTTGTCTGCTGGTTTCTACTGAGGGAATCGAGGTCGCTGGGTGCCTGTATATATAGACAAAGGTTAGGCATATTCAATGCTGGAAATAAACTCATTGTTATGCACTTCAATTTCCATTTCATTGATCATTATCTTTTATCTTGTTTCAGGAATAAGTATTCTGGACATCAACAAGTGCTTGTGTCTGGTGCCTCTAGAATCGAGCAGTAGCGACGTCAGTCTATGGTTATGTCTAGCTTAAATGGTCAGGAGACCTAAGTCTTTTGCAATAGACCTCTGTCTTGTGCCCCCAGACTATATTATATCTATATATGAAACCAGTATGTGATGGGAACTGCTTATTTTGTATTCCTGTTTCTACCTTATTGTAATTGCTACAAGTGGCTGTAAACCTTTTAACTTTGAAGCCAGTGTTTGGTATGCCGTGCTTATTTTCTCCAATACGCTAGTTCATCATTTGCTGCCATACTGGAAGTCTTTTGGAGTATCCTGCCATGGTTGTTAGTGTAAGTGACATGGCATAAATATATGGTACCATACTGGGCCAGAATCCTCCAAAGTTTATCAAAGTATACATTTACTTGTAACAGTATTCTAGCACAACTTGCAGATACTTGCTTAGGAAAACAGGTTGCTGCTCAAGTGGCATTGGACTAGTTTGCTCTTTTGTGCAAATACATCTTGTATTCAAGTGGAAAGTAGAGAATAGCAGTCGTGGGTCCTTCAGTTGCACCGAACTCTTGAGGTACCTGCCTGAAATGTACATGGCCTAGGGACTTTGTCTGATCGCTCTGTATTTCATAACAAAATCCTGTTTTTGTTGGGTGAAATCTTGACCTCTCTTGGGTTTTGAAGTAGGGAGCAGACCTGTAGGGACTTCTGTAGAAAAGGGAGAATGGACTGTAGATACTCTTGCTTATTACAAATGAGAATTGCATGCTTGATATTGAGAGATCCAATTGGAACCTTTTTTGTTTCCAATGGTCATTACGCTCGCGTTCTTGTTTTAACCCTGTTCAGTAGAAGAACCCAATTGGAAATTTGTATCGCAGTTTGACTAAAAGTCTAGAGTTGCAAAGCTCTTGCATGATGTTGGCCCGGATGGTAATGTACTTAAAAAATCATGTTATTGTTCAATTTTGTTTTCCTAAAGTTGCAAAAGCTGGAAGGAACAGGCTCTGCTTTTGCGTTGGAGGAGAGGGGACAGCTGTACCGAGGCCGAAGACTAGGCGTGTGAATCAAATGACCTGACGTCTAAGCTTTGTGCAACTACTAAGTGAAAGTCTAGGATAAGTGCTCGGCAGCGAGTCAGTTCCTCTCCCAAATCCATCCCAAGTGCTTTAGATATGGAGATCACTGCTTCCGAGGGGTATCCAACACATTTGCCAAAATCGGCCCGCAACCCAGAGATTTCGCTAGAAACTTCATGTATTCCTCCAGCAGTCCTGATCTCAGATTTGATAGGACTCGGAGATAAAACAGCATTCGCTGCATTCTCCGATGCCTCCCATGCCTTAGCCCTGCTACAAGCATAGAAAGGTAATGGCGGTGAAATAAACCTCAAGTCAGCTAGCGTTTCGGAAATGTTAAGTTAAGCATCCCTTCCCACTCTTTATAGGAAGAGTACTGGACCATTCGACAGTACCTTGTCTGGTGCCACAATCACACACAACTTGAATGCTTGATCATGTTGTATTCGGACTGATGAAGACCACATCATGTTGATTGTGACTTGTACTGAAGCTTACAACCCCCGCATTGCTTGACAAATGAAATGTTGGGTCGATCCCCATCCTCTCGCTCAAACCCCATTGGAGTTTTTTTTTTCCTTTTTTTTGTGGGTAACCCCCATTGGAGTTAATCCCTCCGAGTACCATATTTGGTAGAGCAAGCTAAAAATCCCTCCCAACACTGAGTTCTATACATGAAACACTAGAAAACATACCAACGAAGAAGACCGTTGGCACGCAACATGAAAAGCAAGGTAACACCAAAGCACCATGAATAAATTTCCAGGATCCCATCGCGACTTGGCAAACCAAGTTTTATGCAATTGATTAATTCACACAGCTGCTATTTCCACAACAAAATTAACAAAAATTCTAGATTACTCTCTCCGATCCATATTAATTGACGTTGTTTTAGTACAACTTTAGTACAGAGTTATACTAGAGCAGCGTCAATCAATTTGGATTGGTGGGAGTACTATTATTTATGTTCGGCCACAAGAAGGCTGGAAGAAGAATTGCTTCAACATTTTACTCGTAGCAGCTTCGACCTCACCGTCTGTTTTTCTATATATTCTTCAACTATCCTTGTTCTGCCTGCACAGATACGGAAGGTTTAATAGTAATCAATGCATGTGAAAAAATAAAATAAAAAGTTAAAAATGAGTCCAAGACTACACACCTACAACCATGCATACCTACATCTTAAGATAGGCACACTAAGAAAAGTTCACTGCGTAGAAAGGAGGCATGAGGAATGCATTTGCTTGGTGCAGTAATCTTCATAAACCATATTCTTTTTTACTTTGTTTGAAAGAGGGCATTTTATTCACTCATAAGAAGCATCAAGGGGATACAAAACTCCACGAGTACACACCCGACCTCTGCATAGTTAGTATGCACAGAACCATCATCGACACATGTGCAGCGCGAACCTGCAATCATCCACTCCCCCCTCCCTAACCGATGCAGCTCCAAGACGATGCTTCCAAGAGAGAGAAACAAGTGTTAATGATGTCATTGTCTGATCCGATACCACCCGGACCTAGGGTTTCCCCCGGAGTAGCCGACCGGTAGGCATCAACGGCAACGACGACAACTTCAACAAGGTAACGTCATGCAAAGGCGTCGGCATCATCAGCCCAGAAAAATTCGAGCACGGCTTTCGCCTCTCATCTCGCCGCAGCCAAACAATCTGGCACGCGGCATGTCGGCCTAGACAAAACCACAACTTCACAACATGTAGGGACCGAGCCACTAGCCATGGACTGGCCAGGAGCCACCGAGCCCAGCCACCGCGAGCCCAAGTGGGAAAACAGTGAATCAAAGTATACCTTTACTTGTGATAGTGTTCTAGCACAATTTTTTTTAGAACGAAGGCTCAAACAGAGCCCGGCTTTGAATTAAGAAAGCCATCAACCGGCCACGATTACAACTCCAAATTACATCACTCACCAACTAAAGAAACGAAGACAAACAACAAAGATACAAGGGCGCCAGGGAGCATCTCACAATGCACATACAACAAGCTAGTTAGAAAGATTGGCATAGAGCATATAGCTTGGAGATGCCATTAACCTCTTGCACGCTGTAAAACCAAGGCGAAAGCGATATCCTGGTCAGGAGAGTGCACCGACAATGATGCAAGGCACGCCGTTGCCAAAACACCTGGGCTTGAAGAAGACACATCCGTTCAGATCCATCGTCAAAGAAGGCCCCTGCCTCCTCGCCTGGCTCGAAGGGGTCGCACCGTTGAACGATGGACATGCTCACCCTAGAGCCTGGATGGATGGCATCGAAGAAACCACTTGGGGCGGAACGAGGCGTTCCCGACATGCCGGCGACGACTCACCTAGAGCAGAGCAACACCGTATGCCCTAGTTCTGACATGAAAGAGATCGAGCAGTCAGAATGCACAATTGGGCAACAATAAGGCCAAGACCAAATTGGGAGCTTCGGCTCGGTCGACTAGCTGTAGTGCAGCCACCGTAGGAGGGGAACCCTATCCCCTCCCGTCCTGGAAGATCCATGGGCACCGGAGGAATACACTGCAGCCCGGCGAAGAGCACCAAAACAACTTGACCCAGCACCAAGGGAGACACCGCCACCGCTGGACGCACGCTGCCGCCACCGACAAACTCCACCTACACCACAGCGAAGCCCACAACCTATCTTTGTTCCCAAAACAACGCCTTCATGAAGGTTACGGCGCCAAGGGCGTCGCCGCTGCCCAACAAAGTTGAGGATTTCTCCCGGGAGACAAAGGGGAAGGGGATGGGGGCAAGACCTGAACGGCGCCTCCGGGAAGGTGCGCGGCGCCCGCAGGTGTCGCCGCTGGCATGGCTGGCTAGGGTTTCCCCCGGTCCTGCATCCTTGACACCCGCTCCCACCCGAAGCAGACTGGGACCCCACGATGAGGCAGGTCAGATCTGGGGAGGGGGGAGGGGAGGGGCTCGCTGGAGAAGAAGGGTGGTGGGGACGGCCAGATCTGACGCAGCCGGAGCTGACGCCGTCGCCGCGCACTGGCCCGCATTCTTCGGGGATCTCACCGTCCACACGAC